AGAAATTGACAAATCACAATCGATTATTCTTCTGTACTTTTTTCTGTGATTGGTCAATTTCTTACTATTACGGCCTACAACTCTCCATTGTAGACGGCTCTTTACATATATCTCCGTCCCTATATTCCTATGTCCATGTTTCTATCGCTATCGCTATTTCCATGGCTATTTCTTCCATTGTGCAAGAGGCTTAAAAGTAGCTGAGTTTGTCCCCCCTACTCTGGCCTAAACGTGATGTGTAATCTCGAACAATGTAGATGTGTGTTGTAGATGTTTATCAATAATCTGCGCTCGTAATTTGCGTAATAATCAGATAACGAAATATAACACGACTCTTAAAACTCGTTTTTAAATCCCCAACAGAATGCTGTGTATAAATAACGGATTTCATAATTAGAAAATGTGTCGCTTAAAGCAAATAGTTAGTTATTACTTGCCAATAATTGCGGTCACGTATTTTTTTATTGCTATTAGTAATACTGTTGCTGATACACAACAGATATGCAGCCAACAAGTGGAAGATGCTCGCAGGTAATTAGCATAAATTAAACACATTTTAAAAAAAACATCTACTTTTATATACATGATAAGGAACTGTTAGTATAGTAAAATTCTAATGTTTTATTTGTATCTCGTAGAAAAATTTTCATAAACAATTTATATTCTTTTATTCAGTTTAGTGTTTGTCAGTACATTAGATGGAAAGATCTCTGCTCTTGATGCTAACAATTATGGACAGAAACAATGGAGTTTGGATTTTAATGAAGGACCAATGTTATCATCTAGTATTCATCGTAGAGAAGTAATTCAATTTCTGTGTATCCATATTTTATTATTAGTTATTATAAGTTGTAATTACCTATTGTAAATACTAGATTATTTTGAGAAACATAAAACATATATTAATGTCTTATTTCTAATATCTTACCTTTAATGTTGATTTGTAGCTTAACAACAATGGACAATGGATACGCTTAATCCCATCTCTAAGTGGTAGTTTATATAAATTTGATGGAGAAACTTTAGAAGCATTACTAATATCAACAGATCAATTATTACATTCATCTTGGTGCTATTCTGATGACTTAGTCTTCTCAGGTGGCAAGCAGCTTTATTCTTATGGTAAGATTTTATAATGTTTAAATTGACAACATTTGGTAAGTAATTTCTCAGTAACATTCTACTGAAATATATATTTGAGATATTAACATCATATAAACAATATACATTTCTTCTCAATTTTTTTAAACAAGGTGTATCAGCAAGTACAGGAGAAGTTATATACGAATGTAATATTGATGGATGTAGAAATGATACAAAAGGTGAAAAACACTTGAAAAAAGATGTACTTATTATTCAACGTTTTCAGCAGACTGTGCGTGCTGTAGAATCTCGTACAGGTATTGAAAGGTAATTTAAATTAAAATAATTTTACATTGTGTGTATAATCCATAATTTTTAATATACAAAAAAGAATCTATACTAATAATAACATTCATTAAAGATGGAACTTTAGTGTTGGACAACATAGTTTAGAGTTAGCAAATACTTACTGTTCTAATAATGTTAGTCTAGATATAGAAATAAAAGTTATCATACCAGAAGGCTTAATTTGGGCTGTCAATAGAAGTGATCCTACTGTCAAGTTATGGCAATATAAAGTTTGTAATTTATATTTATAATCTTTAACACACACACACACAAATAATAAGACTTTTTCTTTAAATTAGTTTCTTTTTTAAACTAGTTTGACTCTCCAATTGTTACAATATGGCGCGAGGACACACCCAAAACTTCTAGGAATCAAAGACTTTTAAAAGAACTTAATTTGTTTGATGTTTCTCAATGGGCATGGGGATCACAATATTCTACAATAAGTCCAAGCATATATTTAGGCATGCATGAAAGACAATTGTATGTGCAGGAAAATTTTAATAAAAAAAGTTCGGTAGATTTGTCTGCTGAACATACGAGATATCCATGGCAGCCATATCCAGCTGGTGGTATGAAAATTATACTTTGCGAATTTATTTTTTTCTTATATACAAATTTGTTTTTCATATATACACGCGTACACACATCTTATTATTAACAAAAGGTGGCATTTGTTGACATGTTTATAAAATAAATTCTAGAAACTGCTCTTATATCAAATAAAGATCACGATAATAAAATTTCCATCGAAACACAGACTACAACTGCGTTATCTGTGTTATATAATTCAGAATATATTAATGGTAAGTAAGACTAAACAATAAAAAAATAATGAGATACATTTTAGGTTCTTTTAGTTACAAACTATGCAAACTTTTGAATGAGAACCTTACGCTAAATGTTTTGTTGCGTAATTTATATATACATATATATATATATATATATATATTTTTTTTTTTTTTTTTTTTACATACATATATACATGTAAAGTATATATACATATATATATCCATATATATTTTATATATATATAAAATATTATTATTTATAATTATATATATATATATATATATTTATATTTATATTATACTTCATTTGTTAATTTTACAAATGATTTTGAAATGAAATTACAATTTCTAAAGTCACATAGGATGCTTGCATCACATATGAGATATCTCTGTTTACCCCTCTAACTAATTTTAAAATATTGCAAAAAACCTTGGCCAGGAGTCGAACCTGGAATCTCCGGCTTTCCGTGATTCCAGGTTACATATACATATATGCTCTTGTATATATATAGGTTCCTATTTGTATAAAATATGTACAATATAAAATATATACATACGTACATACTCATGGGCATCCGCAGGGGGGAGCAAACCCGGCATTTGCTCCTAGAGAAGCAATTTTTTTCACAAATTGTTTTTATCTTAAAACAAGTTTGAAAGCCCTAGTTAATAAATTAAATCATACATCTATTCATGAAAACTCTCTGTACAGTGAAACCTTTCTGTAAAATTCATAATTTTTGGGACGGAAAAATTGCTCTGTCCTCCCCTCTAAAAAAATTCTGCACGCCCATGTACATACGTAAGTGTGTGTGTGTGTGTGTGTGCGTGCGCGCGCGCGCGCGCATAAAATTTACATGTATACATATATATTTATTACGCAACAAAACACCCAGCGTAAGGTTCCTATGACTATTCAAAATTTCGTATAGTTTGTAAAAAAAATAGATATATATAAACATATGATATAGTAAAATATATATTATCATTGTAAGCAATTAACATACATCTTTGTATATTTATATATTTGACTTAAAAAAACTTTTATTCTCTTATGGTATAGGTAATGGATTTTATTTGTATTCAAAAGATCATTTGTCTGGCAAATGTAACCATAGCAATATTAATTCTAATCCTAATATTACACTTATTACTGAGACGGAAGAGCCAATAGTAACGTACATTAAAGAAGATGATACACCTGTTCCAGAACTTATAATATCGCTTTGGCATTGGTGGTAAGTTTTTAGTGTAATAGAATTATAAATATACTACACACACACACACACACACACACACACACACCAATTTAGAAAAGAATACATCTTTTATATTGTTACGCTAGGAAAGAAGTTTTAATAATATCGATTACATCTGCCCTTGTGATGAATTTTGTGCTGACACAGCGTTTATTCAATGCAACATTCTCTGCTAATGATGCCATATCTCCTGTAAGTAAATCTATGAGTTGTAGAAACATTTCAAACAATTTTCTTATCTTTGTTTGCTTTAATAATCCGTTTGATGGATCTATGCTCTCGTAGCCATTGATAGTGGAAAAACATGTTGAAACCAGAAGAAGTGAATCACCTAATAATAGTAACAGCGAAAATGCAAAAAATTTTAAATCACGTTATCTAACAGACTTTGAGCCAGTTGATTGTTTAGGAAAGGGAGGATATGGAATTGTCTTTGAAGCCAAAAATAAAATTGATGATTGCAATTATGCTATTAAAAGAATTGCCTTGCCAAATAGGTCAGATTTTAATCACTTAGGTTTTGTTACAAAGAGTATATGAAAGCAACTTCTAGGTATATATAAATAAACATGTTTTACTAAGAAGATTTTTATTTGCAGTCAAGATTCAAGAGAGCGCGTAATGAGAGAAGTAAAAGCATTAGCTAAGTTGGATCATCCTAATATTGTAAGATACTTTAATGCTTGGCTAGAATGTCCACCCAGTGGATGGCAAGAAGAACACGATCAACAGTGGATTAATAAGTTAAACTCTTCGTCATCCGAATTTCCGTCGGAAGTAACTGAGATTAAAACAAAACTTAACGATTCTGTGCGTATTGATGTTCCACAAACCGATCCATCTTCTATAAACAGTGCCTGTGAAGCTTTAGAATTAAATAAAACAAGTGATGATTCATTTATTGTTTTTGAAAATTCAAGCGAAAAGCATTGTAACGATAATGCAGTTTATATCAATGACGATGACATCAACAGTTTGGATCAGTCTGTTTCAACTGATGTAACTGATGATGAACACTCGTCTAGCGTGAATAACACTTATCATTCCGAAGAAAGTATTGTGTTCCAAGAGACTGACTATATTAACAGAGAAACAAAACAAAAACGACAAAAGTCATTTTCTGTTGATCTGAACATTAAACCGAATATTCACAAGTCGACAAAAATGTTTCTATACATACAAATGCAACTGTGCCAACGACTAAGTCTCAGGGAATGGCTAAAACAGACTATCTCAGCAAGAGATTCTTTTCACGTGTTAAATATCTTTCAACAAATAGTAGCTGCTGTGGAGTATGTGCATTTACAAGGTTTAATTCATCGAGATTTAAAGGTAATATCCGACTTCATACATGATTTTGTGCGTGCGTGCGTGCGATATAAGAAAGGTGTTTCTTATGTAATTATCTACTTTTTAAACTTTATTTTTTAGCCATCAAACATATTCTTCGCTTATGATGATAAAATAAAAATTGGCGACTTTGGTCTTGTAACTGCTATGACTGAAGGTTATAATGGAACTCATACACCCACAGCGGAGAAAGAGAAAATCACATTAAAAAATAACATACATACTGCGTGTGTCGGCACACACTTATATATGTCACCTGAACAAATGAACGGCCAAATTTACAACTATAAAGTAGATATTTATTCTTTAGGAATTATTTTCTTCGAGCTTTTAACACCATTTTATACTGATATGGAAAGGATAATAGCGTTATCAAATTTGAAAAAATCTATTTTTCCAAAAGATTTCGCAGAACATCATCCAGCTGAAGTATGTATAAAAAAATATGTTCATTTTATATACTAATTATTATAATGTATAAGAAAATGTCTCTATTACAAATAACAATATCTAAATACGGTATTTTGCAGTATGATTTGCTCAAAATGATGATAAATGAAGATCCCTCTAAGCGGCCTACAACATTAGGTATTAAAGCAAGACCTCCTTTGCAGAATCATGAAGTAACTAAGGGATATAATGTAGATAACGATTCAAAATGGCACTTTGAATTGCCACAATTGATCAGAAATTCTTCTATGACTAGTAGTAGTAGCGCTGAATTTCCTGAAATTATAAGTTAAATTAAATTTTAGAAATATTTTTGAAATTGTCTCATTACTGATTTATAAACAAAATTAATTAAGATTTTTCTCATTCATTTATCTAAAAATCTAAAATTACTTTCATGTATTTATCTTAGCCGTATTGAATTATGACATAGAAAGCAAAAAATATGAATTGCTGTATATATATTGCATATACAAAAAACTTAAAATATAAAGTGTGTGATACTCTAAGGAACAAAATATAAAGTGTGTGATACTCTAAAAACTTACTTTTTCAAAAAAAGGTAAAAACAGGCGCCAAGTACACGCACAACACGTATTGTATTTAAATTATA